TCCAAGAAGATGGTTGAATCCCTGAAGGTCTTTAAGAAATGTGAGGATGTGGCATTCTGGAACATGTTTAGTGGGCTACGTTGATGGTAAGTGGACAGTTGGACTAAATGATCTTTATTTTCAACATTAATTTTTTTTCCATGTTGTAACAAGAAGGTAGATTTTAGTTAAAATACAAATCACTGTATGTAAGGCTCCAGGAAGAAACCTTTGAAAAGCAAGGAAATAAATGCTCTAATGGTCTCCTTCTGTGCATTAGATCAACATCATGCAGACAGGGATCAACTACCCTTTCCATCTCCAAATGAAGTAAAAATCAAATTTGTCTTGGCCAGTAAGGAAAAATGATTAATATCACAGAACGTGTGTCAGAATATTTTGTGTTCCACAGATCAAAGGAATACATACAGTATGCAAACCTGTTCTACTAGTAAAAAAGAATGTTTGCGCTGGCACAGAGCCACTTCCTATTTTCTTGTATTGCCAACTGACTATTATTCCTCATGTCAACTGAGATCCATACAAAATCATTCTGCTTTCTTACTCACTGTATTTCTGCCTGTTTGTAACAGGCACAAAGTATGCTAATAATTCTAATTTGGAGTAAATGTATAAATCATCAACAAAAAGTTGGCATTGCCCTTCCTATTTAAGACATTCCTACTTTCTATTACCAAGGCTGTGAAACATGTTAATGCTTACAAATTCTTTTCACAAAATAAAACCACAATTATATGTATTTTTTAATATTCCTGATGAACTAGAAAACCATTTGAAATTAAATCTGAAATAAAGTAATTAATCACTGGGGTAAATTATTGGAAATCTTATTTATTTAAGAATGAGAAAAATAGGTACAATAATTAGTTAGGATCATATCTGTAAAGTATTTAAAAAGACTCTGGTTTTCAAATAGATATTAATATATTTACTACGAATGATTATGATATGTATTTTGAGTTTTGAAAACAAGCAAAACAAGCCACAAAAACTGAACTAAACTTGGAAATTTCAAAGCTTCACAAAGATGTATGCATTTAACTCCATAAAAGAGTGATAAGAACATACTGCTCAACTACATTCTGTCTACCTGAAAATTCAAACCTGTATTTTTAACTGATAGCTTGCTACATCTAAAAGGGAAATTACAACTATCAGGCAGGAGTGACAACCTACACCAAAACGGGACTGAGATATCTACTGCATTCTATCATGTCAGTGATGCATGGAGCAACAGTGCTTGAAAGGACAATGATACAATAAATCATAAAAAAGTTTCCTGTTCTGCTATTAATCTACAGGCTTAAAAGCGTGAAAAGTTTTAACTTCTTGGACCATAAACACTTGCAAAAGGCATTATGGTCTATTGTATCTGCTTTCATATAACTCAAGCTTAACCAGTATAAAGGTTCTTTAGATTCAACCACTTTCTAATCATATTTTGACCACTTAAAAAGTTGTTTATCAAGAGCCAACTGTACAGACATGAAGACCAAGCTGATACTTGAGTTGTAGACAAGTCATTCCAATGATTTTTTTTAAAGTGGATGCCATAAAACTACCTTAGTCCCAAAAAGGTGAGGAAATATCCCAAAGATTTGCTCAGAGCATGGCAATCCTACTGACTGGTGTTTTTCCCCTGAGTAAAAGACTATAAAATGGTTCTTTTTCAGATCTTTCAAAAAAAGTTTTATGCTTCAAAATCATATTGGCTGATTCATAAACTTTAAAATCTGCACAACTTTCTTTGAATTTGGAAAGAGCCTATGACACAGCCATTCTGCAACAAAGACTTCTGCAAGACAAATCATGCATTTCTTTCTGTTTGAAAGGGGTGAGAAAAGAAGGAAACAAGGCCGTGTTTTCCAAGAGAAGCTCTACCACACTTATTTATCATGTGTAACCCACTTCAAACAGAAAATTACCTAGTATTGAGATTTTTTTTGGACAAAAAAAAAGAAAAAATTAACAATAGGTTTGAAGAAAAACTGCAGGGGTTGCTGAAACATCTATAGATAACTTGTGCATAAAGCGAGAATGCCAGCTGCTAACAAGTGTAAGCAAATGAATCGCATTCAGTCTCAGATGAATGAAGAGTCTGGAGTCAGAAGTACTTTTTCCATTTTTCCATTTACATCATAGTACCAAATGCCTCCCAGATAATCATGGATTCATCCTTACTCTTCCAACAACTAGTAGCATTCTGTGATTCTGCGTGAAGTAACTTGTATACACCTGCATTTTGGAGTCTCTGGTATAACAGACTTCCAAGTCTCAAATCTTAATCTTAAGAATATTAAAGACATTTTATACAAAATCTTAACAGGAAAACTGCTTTTAAACGATTAAATTATACTATCAAAACATGAATCTCAGAAAAAAAAACATGGAATCTTTTGCTAGCAAAACATCTCAATCAAGTTGGTAGCCACTCTGGCTACTGAAATAATCTAAAGTATATTTTCAATCAGTTACAGTTTCAATTACAGTCCTTGAAAAATTACTTTTTCCCAACTCAAAATATCACTGCTTTAACTATAGCCATTTTGGGATATTCAATTATATTTCCAGGATGTTTTAATGTCTTGAATAAACACTGGCTGTGAAAAGAAACAAAATATCAGCTCTCCTTTGAGTGCTGTTCCAACAAATGCTCCTGAAAACATTTGGAAGGTGGATTTTCAAGATACTTTGCTGAATATTCCTAAAATGACTGCCCTTACACGATGTGAGAAGGAAGTTTTTTTCTTATCCCTAAAATGACTGTCTTCAATAAGTGGTGATTCACTGTACTAGCCCTGAAGCTGTCTTTGGAAGCTCAGTATTCAAAAACCATCTGTGCCAGCAAGTACCAGGAGAGGGCTTTCACTTGATGTTTAAACAAATTATACCCTCAGATATTTCAAACATATACTTTCTATTTATGTATTTTGGGATACTAGCCATAGGTCTTGATGAAAAGCCACATTATTTAATTATTATTTTTCCTAAGCATAACACATACCTGCACTTAACCTCTACACTTCCATTCCATAGACAAAAATGAAAGATTCTGAAATATGCAAATTTTGCATTAATGCTATCTTAGCAATACTTGATTTTTAAAACTACTATGCCTACTCTTGTGATGGTTAATTATTTTCTTAAAGCTTTTAGTCTTACAGTTACACGAGACCATCTATTTCATAAATGAAAGTAAATTTTAATGCTAATAATTAAAAGCCTTACATTTCAAGAAAAAAGCTTGCAAATTTAAACTGAATAGATTAAAAATCCATAAGGTAAGCAAAAACAACTCAAAAATCTATTATTATTTATCTAGCAAGTGCTTTAGGATACTAACTAAAGAATATAAGTAGTTGCTGCTCTCCCTCTACCGCACGTTCCATCCACTTCTCTACCTCTTCCATGTACTGCTCTGTAGAAACACAGCACTAAAAAGATCCAGACAGCAAAGAAGAGTTGGGCAGTACTACTTCAGGAATGTTTGATATCTTACGTGGCAATCACACATTAAATTGCAAACAGCAGCAACATTTAGAGATATTTTTCAGCTATTTTGCTAGTCACCATCAAATAAAAGTACAAAATCCTGTACACGTAATATTTTATACTCCACAAGACAGAAAAGCTGAATTCTTCTAAATGGTGTCTCATTTCTCTTTACCCTTTCTCTTTAATTTTTAATGTAAACTGCATTATATGTAATAATAAATAGACTGAGTTAGTGATGGAACTCCTGCCTGCTACATAGGAAGCCATTTTCAGCAGATTATCTAAAATATGAGAATATAAGAAAGGTAGTAGACACAGCAAATAAAGGTGATAGCAGGTGATCTCAAGTTAGCGGCTTCTTCCTTGTTCTAAGCTCCTTTTTCAATGCTCACTGGGCTCTGAGCCAAACTACTTCAGCAAACTAAGCAGAAAATATTCACTTTTTGTTGTTGTTAGGTTAGTTTTCTGCCAATTTATCAAATGGAATTGGGTTAGCACAACGTACAAGAGCCAAAGCCCATGAAAAAGGTAGGAATGCACTAGGACTGTGATAGAGATCACAGATCACCTTAGGCTACCTTGTAGTCACATTCTGAAACTAGTTACATGTTTGGTGGAAGTGTTATTTGAGGAGCACCTCTCACTCCTGTTCATCCATTTTTCTTGAAAATCTTTTCCCCTGTTTTTCAGAAAGCAATTCTTCATATGGGTGTGTCAAAGTACATATGCTAGTCAATTACTTAAAACAAAATGCTTGCATTTTCCCCAGAACAGACAAATAATAGAATTATTTTTACTCCCATGGTGTAGGCATATTTAGCAGAAACAAAAGTTGAACTACAACTGAACTATAGAATACAGTGCTCAGTACGAGTTATCCAAGGTAATGTAGCCACATTACCACAGTTCTCCATGGTTAATATATTTCACTTGAGGATTTTGCATTGCTTTGCAATGATCCTACATGATCCTACCTCTAGAGCATGGTATTCTTGTTGAAATTACAACATAATTTAGCGTGACTACAAACTCATCTTGCAATTGCAGTGCCATTTCATAAAAGGTTTTGACACATTTGTCACAAAAACTAGTATTACTACAAGCTCACAGTTTGGAATGTGAGCAAGACTACAGTTTTGTTTTTCCAGATTTTTCTTAATGCCTTACCCATTCTTCTATTTTCATTTGTATAACACAGAGGAGAAAGCTAGTATAAATACACAGAGAACATCTGTAGGGAGAGACCTACATGCTTCAGGTTTAGCTTTCCTTTTAAAATATTATTTAATATCTGTTGAAAGACAATACTCAAAAATACAACTAAGTGATGATGTCATTTTAACTGTGACAAATATGATAAACTGGACTCACAGTCCTTGTAATTCAGTAGTTTGTATCTTCTTTCCAAGTTACAGTTCACTGAAAACATCAGCATGCTGTATCTCTAGTTACTCCTACTAGCTTTTGAAAGAATCAGGTCTCTTACTATGTGTATAAACAAATACCTCTCCTCCTATGGTAAGCAGTCCAGGTGAATCAAGTTTCCGTTTCTTCCGGGGACCAATAGCTGCCAACGCAGTTAGATTGGCATCTCTCTGCCTCATTTGTGCAAGTTCTTGTTGCTGCATCTATTAGAAAGAAAAGATTAGATTTTATTCTGCTGTTATAACAAAATGAGCATTCTCCAGACTTGTGAGCAAAAGGTGAAAATCATATATATGAAAAATTCCTAACAGTTTTAAGCTATTCCTAGAAAAACCATTTTAGCAGCTCAAGAATGCAGCACAGTAGCAGAGTAACAATGAAATAGAGAAATTCTCTTGACTTTCCACAGAATTTCTGCTTTACACATTTCAACTGTTTTTGAAAATCCACTCTCAGCCTTGAAAACTGTCTCATCTATATGATGAGTCCTATATATCAGGCTTACAACTCCAGTTTAACATCAGTATGGCGAATGTAAATATTGATTGCAATTCTCAAAAAATACATTTTCTTTCATCTGAGATTTACTTTGAATATTACAACTAGGCTTGATACTCACTTTCAAAAACAAAACAAAACAAAACAAAACAAAACAAAACAAAACTAAATAGATTACCTCTATCTGAACATTAGAAGAAAGCATTACTGAAATAAAAACCATACAAACTGAATCTACAACTGCTTTATGGGATTGGGATTTAGGTAACAACATATTTAGCTATTTTGAGGCTAAGACAACAGGCTGCCAGTTTCATTATGTAACAGCGTTGCATGCTACAGAAAGAGAAAATACAAGAGGTAAGATTGCATACTCATTTTAACTGTATAATTCTTTTAGAGAACTAATGATAAGGGACACAGTTCCACGAACAACATTACTTTATTAAAGATTCTGATAATCTACCTTGCACAAAAATATCTAATGAGGTAAGCAGCATGTGATTTTAATTAGATAAAAAGCAGTCATAATTCTTAGTAATAATGCAACTCCTTCAACAAATTCAGAGGAGGTATTTGTTTGTAGATCATTGTCATTCCTCCCTCAACAAAAATGCATAGAAGGCTACCTCAAGAAATCCAGTAGTGGTAATGAAGACATTGTACAATACAGGCACATTTCTTCATTAAAATAAAACTGAACTGATAGGTCTAGATAGAAGTGTCTGACTTCAGGTAAATGTGAGCTGCATATACAAGTGAGGCCTAAATTACCTAGCTGATGTTAAAAGGAAGGGAGGTTTAAGTAGAAAAGAACAGTGTATGGTATCTTTTCTCCATTCACTACTGCCTAGAAAAAGCAGGTCTGCTTCATAAATCTTCTTAATGCATTTTTCAGCTTTATTCATTTACTAATGCAACATTCTGATGTTCTTCAGAAAAAGCAAGTTTAGTACATTTGGAGTTTGGAAACCTATTTTCATATCTTCAATTACAATCAGAACTTCAATACAAAATTATATACAAATAAACACCTAATTAATCTACAGGATAGAAGAATCCTTTAAATACACAAAGAGAAACACAGAAAAATATCTAAATAATACTGCAAAGGTCTATACATACTTTCCTTTGCCAACTCATATTAGGTTTTTAGCTCAAATATCTTTGGCTCTCTTCCAGATTAAATGCCAGTTAGACAGACCTGCCCGCTTACCCTTTCAAGGTAGATAGCAACAGTGGTGAGCTCTAATCATTTACAAAGGTCATGATCGGGAGCTAGCCCGTAAGCAGTCATTTAAAATTCGATTGATCCCTATTTGTAGTCAGGGAAAGAAAATGGACATTTCAGCTGTATTGTAATTATGAGGCTTCAAGGCAACTGTAAATAGATGTGCAAATCCAGATACCGGCAAATACCTTAGAGAAGAAATTATTACTATAGTATAACATATATCCAGGAAAGGTTGAAGATAAAACTGCATATAAAAAAAGATCTATCATCTTTTTGCTAATTTGCCATGCTTGCTAGCCTATAAGGGTTATCACAATTATCAGAAGTCTGATGAATATTTAAGCTAGGGCCAACTGGCTTCAAGTGATCTCAGCCAAAGCTGCAAAGTGGATGGCTTCACAGAATAAGAAATTTTGCAGCAGAGAAGTTTCAGTTTCCTGGGAGGCATGAACCAGAAATACAGCCTGATAGATAACTGGTACAATACAAAGGTTATTGTTATATGAGCATCTTGTCCAAAGTCACCATTTTCAAACCAGCAGTAGCTAATACTTTGCCCATTATACAATCTGCACTGCAATCCACACTGATTGTGTCAACATGTAATGTATGCACATAATGATTGTGAAGGATTGTTCCACTAACTGTAATTCAGCATTTTTTTTTACTTTTTGCACATGCCAACTGTGACATAAAACATGATGTTTCTTTAAACTCCACATAGTGGGACAAATCCTACTCTCACTTCAAAAACTGCAAAGTTTCTGGTGCTATTTCACCAAGCAAATATTAAATAGATTTGTGAGTATGCAGGAAGGCTACACTCATTTATTTCTCAGGTTGTCATGTTTTCTTATTCAGTGAGAAGAGCTGAAGATAGTTTTGGATATCAAATACTAATTTTTTGACAAATGCATTGGCTTAGCACTTGTCCAAACAAATGTACAAGATTTTCAGCTAACTGTAATTTAACAGATGACAGGAAACCTGTCTCAGCAGACAGAGCCCAAAGGAGCCGGGCTCTGTTTCACTGACACTCAGTGTGAGCACTGGCAAGACCTTTCCCTTCACTTCTCTGTGCTTCTCACCTCACTTCACCCAGACAGTCAGACTATAAGCTCTCCAGACATGGATCCTTCTGTACTACATACTTCACTTACCACCTAGCACCACTGAGGCTGGTAGACATTACCTTAATAGAAATAAGGAATATCTTGTCAAGTGCAAAAACTCCAGGTAAATACTGAATACAGTTGCTAATACTGGCTTTACAGTACATAACTTGGTATACTCCAACAGAAAATAAAAACCTTTTTATGTAAACCTAAATGAATATTTGTTAAAATGTATCAAATACATCAAAAGCATGTATATACTATCAGTAAGATCACAGTATCCTGAAGTTTCATAAAAATGAGGGGCTGAAATTGTGAAATACTTGATACTGTATTTTTCATATCTTCACAAATTTTTATAAATCTTAAACAGTAGTCATCAACAAACACTGATGCGTTTTTTGTTTTTAAGAAAAGCTTATCTGAATGCAGATAATCATAAGACTACAGTTAAAAATAAAGAATTATGATCCTTATATTACCAACAAAGGTATTAATCTTGCAGCATTTAGTGCACTGCAGTTGGCTTAAGTGAATCACAATCAACATGCTTACAATGAAACATCTTCGCTGTTTATGAACACTTATGAATGAGATATTCAACAAAATTTCTAGGTGATATTTAACATACTGAAGCATGCTAACCTCCATTATTTGTGCCTCTTCATTCCCCCCATTCCATCCTTCATACATACAAGTTACATATTTTCCCATACTCTACAACAGATTAGCTATACCAGTTTTCTTCCTTCTCATCATCTGACTCTTCATCAAAAATACTATCACCAACTGCAGTCTTCACAGTTGGAGGAGAATAAAAAAGGTAGTTCCAAAGGAGGGGACAGCACTTTTCAGAGACAACCACACAACATGTCTGACTCAACAGGAGTCTCTCAGTAAATGCAAGAAAAGATACAGGCTGTTTTTAATAGAGAAAAAACTGCATATAGTTATTGCGGCCATCTTGCAAGGAGTTGAGGAATACCTGATATTTTTCTGAGAGCTCTACAGTTCACAAAGAATTCATATTCTGCTTTGGCTTCAACAGATTATTTTTAAGATGTCTCTCTTTTACCATCATATGCCAAATACACAACTCAGACCAGCAACAGCCCTTTTCCCCAATATACTCTGGGACTGCACTCTGCATGTAGCGGAACCGACAGTACAACAAGTATCACCCTCTGCTTTTTCAGTCCTTAGAATAAGGTGAACTAAATGTAGCCATCTTCAGTGCTTTTGTGATTTTAAAGTACTCTTGAAAGCAACAATGAAACCAAAGCTGCTTAAGCTTTACATGATCGATTATATTTTTAAACTTAAAAAAAACAGCCTGTTAGTACAATATAGTTTATTGCTTAACTTAGCCAGGTAATAATTTCTGGATATTTAAACAAATGAAGCACCTGTTTACAACTATACATCCTGATAAAATAAATAAAACTTTCCTATTAATTAACATTCTTTAGTAGAAATGAATCCAACTCATTACATCAACCAACACACGATGCAGATGCTCCGTTGCTGCATTCACATTTACTGTCATTTTCATATCACAGTTCAATATCATTCTTTAACTTGCCTTCATCCACAATTAATATGGATATATTTATCAATATTAAAATTTCTGCCCCCTGGAAAAGAACCAATGCTTCATTTGGAACTACGCTAATCAACAATTAATTTTTTTGAAAGTCAAAATATTTATTTAAAACAGATATGAATATTCCAATATGTTATAAAAGAAAACTGCTTACAAATGAAATTCTATTCTTTGCTCCTGATCTGCTTCAAATCTATTTTTAGCACACCACTTACTTCCTTTGTGACAGCTTTAACTTACAGAGATACCTTTGACAAAAAATACAGCACAAGAATACCAATATTATTTCACAAAATGAAATTTTCTTCTTCGCATAACATCAACAAGAAGAACATTGCACTACTACGTTATTAAAGAAAAGCTAACAGATTCAAAAATTTGGTTTGTTTTCCATAGGCTGTTACTCATTACATTTAGATATTTCAAAAAAGAAGCACCACAAGCCATACGCCACAAGGAAGACAGCCATACGCCTATTTGAAGAATCAACATTCAATCTTCAAAACCTAGATTTAATAACTTCCAAAGCACATCAAGGGCACATTCACGACGTTTGGTAAATAATTTTGCAACAGAAACCAAGCATTTATTTTAAGCTGCTTCTGCACGACAAGCCATTGTGAGAACAGTCATTGAGACAACAATAAATCAACAAATGGTGTCAGTATATGTACAGCAAGTTCGTTCTTCCTAGATTTCTATTTCCACCAGCACGTGCAGCAGCCCATGCAGGTGGAAGAAGCCACCTGTTTC